CATTGCTGCAGTGAAACCCCCAAGCTTGCTTCAGACGCAGTTATTCACACTTTCTTCCTGATGTCGCTAGTCTGGAGGACCTGGCCCATCTGGTCTTTTTTTTTTTAATACTTTTTTTTATTGTAAAAATACTGTACAGAGGGGTTACAGTTATATGAGCAAGGTCATGGGTACATTTCCAATCAAGCATTGTTACCTCCTCCTTTGTTTTCCCCCTACCCTTCCTTCCCTCCCACCTCCACAACTACACTAACCCTCCCCCTCCCTCCTCTCTCCCCGCCTAAATTGTCAAGTTCATTTTTCAACATAGTGTCTTGTACAACTCATTGCTACAATGGGTCAACCTGTATCCTTATTGAAGCATTTGTTTTTTCCCCTCCCTTCCCCAAACTAGAGAAGTGTATATACAAGATGCAGGGCACCGACATCAAATACAGTGAAAACAGGGGTTATACTGTGGGGGAGGGACATTCAAAGAAACAAAAAAAATCACATGGTGCATTATAAATATGTTAGAAACAATAGCAAGAAAGAAAAAACCACTTGTGTCCCAGTGGAATAGAATTGAAAACCCAGAAATGAACCCACAGACCTATAGCCATGGGAGCTAAAAAAAATAGAAAGGAAGAAAGACAGCCTCTTCAGTAAATGGTGCTGGCAAAATTGGTTAAATACCTGTAGAAAACTAAAGTTAGATCCTTATATATCACCCTGCACCAGAATCAACTCCAGATGGATCAAAGATCCCGAAATCAAAGCAGACACCCTGAAAACATTACAGGAAGGAATAGGAGAAACTCTAGGTCTCCTTGGCACAGGCTGAAATTTTCTCAATAGAGACCCAGAATCACAACAAATCAAAGAAAGGTTGGACAAATGGGATTGCATGAAGCGGCAGAGCTTCTGCATGGCAAAGGACATAGCCAGCAAGATCAGTAGAAAGCCCATGGAGTAGGAGGAGATCTTCACTAGCCATACAACGGACAAGGGCCTCATATCTAAAATATACTTGGAACCCATCTGGTCTTAAACGAGCAAGGTGACAGGGCCACAGCCTCTTCCCCTGAGACAAACTCTGGGACAGAAACCCCCGCAGCAGGACAGGCTTGCTTCTTGTTCTTTGTGATGTTTTTTTGGCTTTTGCCCATCTTCCTTGTCCCCAGCCTGGATAAGCCTTGTCGGCCTCTGAGCCAATTCATAATCCTCAATTTCCTCCAAACCTGCAGAAAAAGGATGTCTTGCTGGAACTGCCTGGAAACCAGCTGGGCTCTGCCTGGAGGCTGCGTCTACCCTGGGCCCTGGACCTCTCCTGTGGAAAAATGTACCAGCCGCAGAGAGGAGGCAGGCCCGTGCACCCCTCAGGAAGAGCAGGTGTGTGGTCACAAGGAACTCTGGGAATGCGCCTGGGGTCCAGGTAAGACCTGAAAGGGTCAGGTTCAAGGAGTGATAGCTCTACTTATTGCTGTGGGCTGCCTAATTAGCCTCTGACTCTGGCTTTGCCGTGTGGATGCGGTGTGCACGTTAGGGCTAGAGCTCAACTGTTGAGGGCCTGGAGGAGAGGCGGTGCTCCACCTCACAGGCCATGCTAATTCTTCTCCTGGGCAGCCCTTCAAGTTCACGAGGAACAGATGTGTGAATGATGCACACATGATAACCCAGGCCAGGGCTCCCGTGTATTTCTGTAGATCTGTGAGGATCCACTTCCAGGCCTTTGCTTGAATCTGAGGTACCCCTTCTCTTCTGTTGTCCTGGCTCAACCCGGGAGCCACCTGATCCACCTGGACAGTGTCCCAAGCAGCCAGGCGTCACCCTGCCCACATTCATTCTACCTGCCACCCCTCTTTTGCCCGTACCAGGATCCTGTGAAATCCAGCAAATGAGTTTCCTGGAGGGCAGTGATTGATACTGCAATACATTCCTCTACTCAAAACATTTTTTTTCTGGCTGTATGCCTAGGATCCTAGCTACTCAGTGGGCTGAGATCTGAGGATCGTGATTCGAAGCCAGCCCAGGCAGGAAAGTCTGTGAGAGTCTATCTCCAATTAAGCACAACTGGAGATGGAAACCTTCCCCAGCATCTTGTCTGTCTATCTTAGGGAGAACTTGGGACAAGCTAAGCAGAGCCAAGTGACATTCACAGAACCTGCACCACAGTGCCATGGCCCCTGCCTTCCCCCTCATCGTTAATGGCTTCACCACATACCTGGTGTCCAAGGTCAGAACTCTTACTTCTCTTGGAGGCTCTCTGGTGTCCCTCTGTCCTCACCATTGAACCAGACATCGAGTCTAACGGATGGGCAGCCCAGGTAGGTCCTACTCCTGCTTGGCCCATGCCTTGCCATTTTCCTTGAGAGCACTGCTTTGAACGTCCTGATGTGATTATTTGGAAGGTTTCAAGCTGTCTGCCTTCCTTTCTAGGCTGCAGATGGATGGATTGGGAGGGCAGGGCTGGCTGTCTGGGGAGGCATGTGTCTCCAGTGCCTAGCAACACCTGATGTGGGTGTGATCGCCATATGGCCCAATTAGCCATCCGTGTCCTGCTCAGAGTGGACGTGGCTTTCGGTCCTTCGAGGCATCAGGCTGCTGCTTGTCCCTTCACTTTCCCAGTCCTCCCCTGCTTACCTGGCCTGCATTCTTCAGATCCCAATGTCAGATCTCAGATATCCCCTCCTCTGGGAGTCCCCCTCCGTGGGACACACACACACACACACACACACACACACACACACACACACACACCACAGTTGGTGTGATTCCTGCAAAGTTGCAGCACCCGAGTGAGTGCAGGTGCACCTTCCTACTATCTGCTAGCATCTGCCTTCTCCTTCAGACTGACAGCTCCAAGAACATCTCCTTGATCTCAGCGCCTGGAGCATGGAAGGGGCCTAACCGTTCTGTGGATGAATGGGAGATCCAGGAATAATGGATGAGGAGGGGATTGGAAAACTGTAAAGTTCTTCCCCAGGGTCTCTCCATTTTTCTGGGGACCCCTTGAAGCATCAGGAGATGGGTACAGGAATCTGGCAGACTTTAGGTGTGCTGTGGGGGGGGGGCTTAAACTCAGAGCGGGGCACTGCCCCTGAGCTTTTCCACTCAAGTCTGGTGCTCTACCACTTGAGGCCACAGCTCCATTTACATCTTTTTGGTAGCTAATTGGTTGATGAGTCTCACAGACTTTTCTGCCTGGGCTGGCTTTGAACCTCAATCTTCATATCTTGGCCTCTTGAATAGCTAGAATTATACATGCAAGCCACCAGTACCCAGCCTGGCAGACTCTTGGTGGGCAAGAAAGAACATACATTATTTATTGATGGTCCTGTATGTCTTCAAACTTCCCCTCCCTAAACATTGTCTGTTTGTCTGTCTGTCTCTCATACATATACTATAGTGATGTGCTTTGTGTTACCCCTGTGGAGGTGCACATTTTACTGCTGTGTTGACTCCGACACATCTGTCCTAGAGCATAAACTCTAGAAGGAAGGAACCAGATCTACCCCCAGGAAAGGGTCTGTGGACTTAAAGGAGGCGGGAAGAATCAGGGAGAGGATGCATGTTACCCTGGCAGAGCTCAGACCTCTCCAGGAAGGACGAGGGGGAGGAAGTGGGGATCCAAGCCACTGTACCCCAGTCCTGTTGGTTGTCTGTGCTTTGAGGAGCAAGTATAGACATTCCATGCAGATCTTGGCCTTCTCAGAGTTTCCAGAGTCCTAGTGTTGGGTGACACCTTGATCCTTGTTACCCGGGTCCTTTCTTTCTTTCTTTCTTTTTTCTTTTTGTTGATTGTGGGGCTTGAATTCTGGGCCCAAGCACTGTCCCTCAGCTCTTCAGCTCAAGGCAAGTGCTCTACCACTCGAGCCACAGCACCACTTCTGGTTTTCTGAGCAGTTTATTGGAGATAAGAGTTGCATGGACTTTCCTACCTGGGCTGGCTTTGAACTGCAATCCTTAGATCTCAGCCTCCTGAGTAGCTAGGATGACAGGCATGAGCCACTGGTGCTGGCAGTTTCCTTTCTTTAGAGCTGGAGTTCCTCTAGTGGTCTCCTTGTTGGACTTCATACGGCCAGCATTGGAAAGGGGCCTTGGATGGCAGAGGGTGTCACCCAGCTTGGCTACTTGCAGAGGTGAGGAGCTCACCACTTTGCCAAGTAGCCTGCCGCACTGGGGAAAGCTCTAGTTGGTCTCTTCCTGAGCAGCTTTCCCTCTGGCCACTGCCCACCCGAGCGTGGTGGTTTTCCCAGGGGTGACAGAGCCACCCGGCACCGTCCAGATGTAAGATTCTCTCCCTGTGGCTGACCTCCTGGGATTGGGATCCAGCTTCCTCTCTGGAGCAGAGAGTGAGGGATAACAAGTAGGACCGGTCAGGAACAGAAGCCCATGTGTGGAGGTCCCCCTCACTTTTCCTGCCTCCCACAGCAGGCCCTCCCTGCTCTGTGTGTCCCCTGCATCCCCCCCCACAGGTCTGCCACTCAGTGATGACTTACCTAAATGCATACCACCCAAAGGACAGGAACATTTGATTGCTGAGGGAAAAAAGCTTCTTTTTTTCCCCCTTCTTTCTTTTTTTCTAAAGCCTTTCAAAAAGTGAGTCATGATTGGCCTAAAAATAGCCTGTGGAAATCAGAAGAAACAAACACGCACACAAAAAAAATGATACTAAAAATCCAGAGTACCTAATTATAGGAGAAAGGAAATGCTTTGGCAGGATTGAGATTCCAGTGATGTCTTACTTTATTTATTTATTTATTTTGAATCAGACATTGTACAGGGGGAGTGAAATATATTCGGCATTGTTAATAAATTTCCCAACCCGGAGACTCAAAGTCCCTTTGCCCTGCTATTTACAGCCTCTGTGGGCATTCCTGGGCTGGTGATATTTGGACTTACTCCCTTCTCTGCTTTTCCCGGGGCCACCTTTGTTCACCACCATAAACTTCAGGACAGGGGTGATCAGTCAGGCAGCCTGTCCAGACACTGAGCAAGCACCTTGGGTGGGAGAACCTTCTGTAGACAGCACTGCAGGAGGATTAGTGAGTAGATGGCTCGTGAGCCTGTAGGAAAATGGTAGCGATCAGGAGGCATCATCCTGGGTTCGCCAAGTACCAATCCAGACAACACAATCTCCTTTACCTGGCTGATGGCTTTCTAGACTCGTTGACATGCAAGGCACCATGGACGTGGTAAATAGGGTTAAGACTATGATTCAATCCCCCGGGACCAGATGGAGCACAGTGGATGCAGCCTTCAGAGAGGTAGGCTTAGTAGGCTGAATCATGTGAGCCCATGGTGATCAGAAACTGCCAAGAAATGGGTGGGATCTCAGGCTGTATGAATGGAAGCACAGAGCCCAGAAGAGGGAAGATAGTGGCACCTTCCCCTGTGCTTGGCAGGGGCTGGACCACATCTGGCGCATCTTGTTCTGTGCTGGGAGCCATGGCGGAGTGAGCGAGAATGTTGACAAATGGGGTAGCATTTGGACAAGGAGAGTGGGGTGGGCCAAGGTCTGTATGCCCTGGCACAGGAGGAGCGGTGGAGGGAGCTGGGGACCAAAAACCTGGAAAACTGACATCCAAGTGATTCCTCACAGCTGTTTTCAAATATGGAAAGGTCTGCCGTGAAAAACTGAGCAGAGATATTGGCTGCAGTGTTAGCAACAGTGCTTGGCAGCCAGGTAGGGCTTGGGTTGGTCCCCAGGACACAATGGGGGAGGAGGTGGGGAAGGGCCAGCTGGGAGCCCTGCAGGGGGCGGGGGCGCCCCTGCCCTCCCCCACCTGTGGGGCCTGCTCCCCCTGGAACAAGAGCTGAGTGTGGGGCTTGGCCTGTCGTATGCTTACCAGAAATGAACCACCTAGGCCAGGGTGTTCCTCTCTCACCATGAATGTGGGAAATTGGAGGCCTCTGGAGGGAAGGAGCTTGGCTGACCAGGTCCTCACCAAACCCAGGCTTGTTCCACTGGAGGACACCCTTCCCCCAGCTAAGATTTCTCCCCTCCCTCCCTCTCCTACCCTCCTTCCCTCCCTCCCTCTCCTTCCCTCCTTCCTTCCTTCCTTCTTTCCTTCCTTCCTTCCTTCCTTCCCTTCCTCCCTTCATCCTTCCCTCCTTCCCTCCCTCCCTCTCCTTCCCTCCTTCCCTCCTTCCTTCCCTCCTTCCTTCCTTCCCTTCCTCCCTTCATCCTTCCTTCCTTCTCTCCCTCCCTCCCCCTCTCCCTTTTCTCTCTTCTTCCTTCCTTTCCTCTCCTCTTTCTTCCTCCCCTTCTTCTAGGCACCAACATCAGCAAACTAATGAGGTTGCCCAACTGGCGGTGCACGCGCCATCAGGGTGTAGAATGAAGACGGATGACTGTAGCTAAGAGACAATTTGAAAAGGGATAAATACAGGCAACAAGTTATTCACCACGGCAATTTGTAAAGAGCGTTAAAAACCTGCAGATGGGTTGTTTCACATCATCTCCTTTTCCATTTGCAGGCTGACAGACCCGGGTAAACGACAGTGATGGATGGCTTCGAGCAGGGCCCCTTAATCTACCGTGCTGCCATTGATTAGTTTGGCTGCACAGCACCCCGGGGTGGTGGACGTGACCTGAGCTGGGCCTCTGGACTTGGAGGGGACTCTGAGGAGGGAGGCGTGGGGCGGGGCGGGGCTCTGCACTGGAGACCCTGAAGGCTGACACAGAACAATTGGAGGCTTCTGTAGTTATCAGCAGAGATAAAGGGACAGAGTCCTGGAACCTAGGATCTAGCCCCAGCCTCAGTTTCCATGAGCATCATAGGCTTCTCCCCCATGCCCAGCTAAGTGCCTGGGTCCAGATACCTCAGAAGATCTGAGGAGGATGGGCGAAGGTCATCTGGGTCATCCCAGATGGAGTTGGGGACGTCCCATAGGAAGACAGCAGAGACGAAGCTCTCGGAGAGATGCAGGGACAGGAAGAGCCCACCACTGCAGAGGAACCAAAAGATTACCAGGCATGGAAGACTTCAAACTTGGGTCAGGTGACAATGCGTGATTCCTCTGGGCACCAGAGATGTGTGGAGAGAAGGAAGTGTGGAGGAGGAGCCAGGTTGCTGCGTTGGAAGAAACATTGGAGTGGGATGTGGGGAAGTTTGGTCTTCGCTCTCCTTCCCATAGGGTACTTGGTGGCGAAGGGCATTGAACAATGGTGGAAATGGCCCTGGGTTTCTGTACCCTGAGTCCAAATAATAGCAACACATGTGTGTGGTAGTGTGCTTTCCTTGTATAGAAATGCTGTGTGTGCCTGTGTGTGCAAATCTATTTCCCTTATCTTAAGGCTGAACAAATGAAGGCTCAGAGTAGTCGAGCAACACAGCCAAGGTCACATAGGTAAAAGTGGCTAAACCTAAATTCAGACTGTCTCTGCCTGTACTATAGAACCACTCGGCTGTGGGAACTCCGGCCCTTGGGGGAGGGGGAGGGGAGGGCTAATGAAGGGCAGATTAAAGACATTGCCAACCAATCCTTGGCTATGTTTTAATCTTTAGAACAAAATATGCTCTTGTGAAAACCAGGCAATCATTGCCTGCAGGTCCCCGAGTCTGAGCGCCCCTGGAACGCCCAGTATTGCCAGAAGAGATGATGAGAATAGAAATCAGGGCTGGTTTCCTTAGAAACAGACCGAACTCCAAGTGAGATGGTCATTCTGAGGGCTAGCGTCCTCACCAGCCTGAAGACTCACGCACCACCTAGTGCAGGCCCGCCTCCTCCCGGAAGACGCCCTGACCAGCACAGTGCACGGGGGACTCCAAGCCCTGGTGCTCACCACCTGCATGGTTGGCTACTTCATCTGACTGCATAGGGCTTGGTGCAGCCCATGGGTCCTGGGATCTACTTAATGAATGTGATGGCCGTGGGTGCTTTTGGGGGTGAGCTGGAATGGGAGGCTTTTACTGCTCCATCCAGGCATTGACCCTGGGCAAGCCAGATTGGTTAGTTGAGTCCTCTCTGGACAACAAGACCCTGTCTGCCCGTGGACAGGCCACTTTGCCCTTCATGGGGTGCGGTTTCTGGCTGATCAGTTTTTGGGGGTGACGGTGGTAGAGGACAAGGTCAGTGGGTCTCAGCTGTGGCTGCCCACCACAAATACCCTGGGGAGTTTCTAAATGCAGGAATTAGGGATTGAATTCTACTCCATCAGAATGCCCGGGGAAATAACCTCATTCCTTTATATATTTATTTTGATGCCAGTACTGGGGCTTGCGCTAATTGCCGGGGTGGTGGTGGTGGTGGTAGTAATAGTCTTGTGGATTTTCTGCCTGGGCTGGATTACAGGCGTGAGCTCATCAGCTCTGCTTTGTTCACTCCACATGTGATTTTTCTTTTCAAACCAGTCATATCACAACCACAACCCACCCTCCACTCTCCCCATATGAGTTTGATGCTGAGCCCGGGCTAGGAAACAGTGAGCAATGTGGACCGTCCGACAGCTATCCCTCGTGGAGTTCTCCATTATGCACACTAGGTGCCTTGACACCATTGTGGAATACAACCTGGTTCTCCAGGAAAATGACTTGGAGACAGAGACTGGGGGGTGGGGGGAGAGGGGCTAGCAGTCCTGGAGGAGGGGCAGGGCCCCTAGGGAAATGATTGGTTCTCTTAATAAGTGGGAGAAACAACTAGACCTGAGCTTCCATTCCAGGCCCACGGACACACATATGCGCGCACAGGTTGGCACCCCTGTTTGAGTGTGGTCAGGGTGCACAGGCAAGGAGCATCCACTGCCCTTCCTTCCTTTCTTTCTAACCCCACCCTAGGGCTGGCCTTTTGGCAAGGGTTCAGGGCTCAGCATCCTTGCTTGTCTGCCCTTCTTTGACAAGAGGCAGCCTGAGCTGCTGGTACCCCCACCCATCCCAAAAATGCACCCCCAGGATGCTGCATGTTCAGGGCGAGGCGGGGATCTCGTCAGCAGAGGCCAGGCACCTTCGAGGGGGGCGGGACGGGGGAAAGGGTTCAGGGCCGCACCGTGCTGAGCAGTTTTGGCAGTTTTTGAAGGTCACTTTTTACCCCCTTTCTACCAAAGAATTTAATTAGGCTTCCATAAAGCAGTTAGATTTAGGAGCGGAACATTTTTAGCTCCCCTGCTAGGAGTGCTCATGAATATTAAAAGCTGGGAAGGAGCAAAGAGCCAGGAGCTGGCCAGCTTGTACCCTATCTTGACTCCCCAGGAGGCTGGGCCCAAGGGCCCGGGAAGAGGGCCGTGGGGTTCCAGGGGTGGGGAGACCCAGGGGAGTGTCCCCCCAGCCCCGGCTGTCCCATGTCACTGACAGCCTGGCTCAGCACTCTTCGTGAGCTGGGACACAGGATCCTGCCAGCCCGAGGGCACAAGCAGGCCTGGCAAGGCACCAAAGACCTACTTTTGTACCTCCTTTCCTGCTTCTGCCATCCTGGGCGGACAGGGCTGCTTGGCACGGCACGTTGGCTGTGCCCAGGCTCAAAGCGTGCCCACAACCCCCTCTTTCAAGTGGGCGTGGCTGGGTCACTTCAGAGAGAAGTGGTCTCCAGAAAATGTCAGCAAGATGGATGTAGACCTGCGGTCAGGGTTTTCTCAGGTCTGGAGAAGCGAGCTGGAGTCCGCCGACGGGGCAGGTGGAGGGGCCCGAGCTTGCCAGGGGCGATGGAGTCACTCCAGGCTGAGGAACGAGGGCAGGGAGGGAATGGCAGGCAGACGGCTGCAGAGCTTGTGGCTGGGCACGGCCGGAGCTGCCTCCTCCCTCAGCCTGACGGTGGATACTAAGCTGACCGCGCCTTCCGGGGCACATTCCTGCGGTGTAGCCTGCTGCCGTCCTTTGCCACCCTCCCCTGGCAGGCTCACGCACAGCAGAACTGGGGCTCCGTTTCACCGATGGGAAAACTGAGGCCGTGTGGGTGTCAGCCCCACTGTGCTGGCGCCAACTCCCTGTCTGGTGACCTAGGGGACTGGGTTGTTGGGGGCTGAGGGGAGGAGGGGAGGGGAGACAGCACACTGCTGGGCTCAGGGTTGGAGCCATACTCCCCAGGGCAGCTGCGTCCTCATCCTGGGCTTGCCCATCTGCCCACAGAACCCCAGCCCTGGGTTAGGCTGGCTGGAGTCAGGGCTAGAGCTCAGGCCCACGACAGCAGGGAACTAGAACTAGCACTGCTGGCTTTCTGGTTGCCAGTTGTGAGTTCAGCTCTTCCCCAGGCAGGAAGTAGCTGTCCTTCCACACAGCCAGAGATCGGAGCCCATGGGGGGGTCAGTGAGGGGTGGGCTCAGCTGGCTGTGGTCCAGGGAGCCCTGGCGCTGTCCAGTTCCATGCTGTCCCGTACCGTGCTGTCCAGTTCCACACTTCCTTCAGGAAATGAGTCTGGCAAGGCTGAGCTTGTGTTATCCACAGATGCCAAACAGGCTGCTATGCTCTGTTCTCCTTGTCATTGCTCTCTGAGAGGCTTCCTCCTCTCTGAGCTTCTTCTCTCTGGAGCGAAGGATGGTGAAGATCATCCCAACAGCTCCAGATTCTCAGCACCCGAGCCTTGGGGTGCTTTCCAGGGTGGCTCGGCCCTTTGTGTGCAGGACCCGAGGGACTGAAAACTCACCAAGTCTCTACTTAGGATGCCATCACTGACCCCTGGGTACTTTGTGAACCGGCGTTCTGCCCCGGAGTCTGCAAGGCGGGACGGGGCTGCGGTCTGAAGGGACATCTCTCTGGGTGGTGCGCAGAGATGCCCACAGCTCTGGTTTGCAAAGAGAAATCAGACCTCCCTGGCACAGATTCACCTTTGCCCTGTGCTGGAAGCTGGGTGCTTCTGCTTGCCCCGCCCCCTTCCTGCCCCTCCTCCCTGGCCGGCTCTGGCTCACCAGCAGCACTCCTGGCGATCCATTCATCTTGCCCATCCAAGCACCTGTGGCACATGCTCCCAACCTTGTCAGCTTGAAATTAAAGACTTGCTCCATGAGCCAGGTCCTCTCCTGAGACGCTGCTCTTTGATTATCCCCTTGGAGGGAGCGGAGCGGCTGATTGGGTTTCCGCAGTGGTGCTCTGATAGTGGAGTTGGGGAGTCAGGAGAGCGGGAGCAGAGAGGCAGAGGGGTACTGGGGAAGCACCCACCCAGTGTGGGCAACACAGCAACTGGCAGAAGCGAGGGGCGTGATGCCTTCTGGTGTGAGGTACACACCGACCTCCTGTTGGATGGAGATGGTGCCGGCTGGAAGGGCCCGGGGATGGGACGGCCACCCAGAGCGTGAGGAACTGACGGAGCCAGAGGAGGCTCAGCACCTCCCCTCTTCCCCCAAACACAGCTGGGTCAAGAGACACTGCTTTTCCTCAAACATCTTGAGGTAGATACAATACCCCCCCCAAACAAAAGTGTGTCTAGAGGTGCCTGGGTTGTGTCTTGTGTGCCTGTGGGTTGGTGTGGGGTGAGGGGCACAGGCACACTAAAGTTTGGGATTCTGGGGCCCGCAAGCTGATTTCACATCCTTTGAAAGTTCAGTGTTCACTGTGAAGGGCTTGAAAAATTTCTGGAGGAGAGAGGCATGTGTGCACACATGTTTACCGGTGCCAGAACTCAGAGCCTGGGCACTGTCCCTTAACTTTTTCCACGTCAGG